CTTTTCTGAAGGATCAGAAGACTCACTTACTAACATTTTCTGGTCTGAATTTCAACTTTTCCCATGCAATGTTAATACTTTTAATGTAGAAATCAAAGCCTTAGTGGAGGAAAGATTATTTTGTCCATAATTTCCCATCCTTTTTTTTTTTTTCTGCTGGAAATCACCCATAAAATGAGATATGTCATCTCAGTCTCAATAATTTTTCAGTATTTTGTCACATTGAATTTCCATAGTACTTAAAGGTATCCTTTTGCTGTGAATTTTCCATGAAAAGAGACACACATTTTTGAAACTTTAATCAATAGGTTGGACCAAACAAAGATGTGAAGGGGGAAGGCACCCTAAGGGAAGGAGAGAGATTAAGATCTGCTTGAGAAGGACTGTGCACGTTCATTGAACTGWGATCATTGGATGGGTGTGGAAAGTAGGTGGAACAGACAATCTCGTGCATGTCTTTCTGTGAAACTGGAGAGGAGCTTTGAGGAGTGGCTTGGACTGGATAGTGCAGTGTGAGGTGATTAAAGGGGCCTCTTGCTTGGGAAGATTATTCCAAGGGTCATGGCAGGACTATAACTACACACTGGATCTCTTGATTCGGATTCAGTGTTGAATTTCAAAACACRTCAAAGCAGTTCTATCTCTAAGCATACTCTCCTATTCCACCCACCCCATTCTTTAGAGTAAGTACATATATGTGTATATGTATTTTGTAAACTGTATATACAYACACACACACACAGTGTGTACCACAAGCTGCTGCGCTTTCCCAGGACTGTTCTGCCAATTTGTGCTTTTCTAATACATAAGTACAAGGCTGGAATGGAAGAAACTGATTTTTATTCATGACCTCAACTAATATTTGAACTTACATTTTTCAGGGGTGAAAGGCTAATTCCCTGATCCTGCATAACCCTATGACTAATCCTTTTTAAGATGGAAACTAGAGCCAGAAGAACATAATTGGTTTATATTATTAGAGAGAGCTACCACARTCCCTTGTTTATGTAGCATTCAGGTGCTGTTATCTCTGTCCTTCAGCTTGTTTTTTTGCAAGCAGCTGCTAGTTTTGTCACAGCCAGAAGGCCTAGATGGGCTGGGGAGGGAGTGATGAACTGGCAATCAGGAGGCTGCGAAGTCCTGGTGGTGACTGTCCCATGAATCTATCATGGGACTATGGCTAACTAACTAATTTTGTTTCTTTGTCTCTTCTGTCACATTAAAATGAGGCTAAGGAAAGTCTGTTATGTACTTCTTGAGAGGGAATTGAGAGTTARTTTGTTAATGTTTTAAAATAAATTTAATTTTGCTATGCAGCTTATTTTCT